TTGTGGGCTAAGAACACGCTTATCTCCCTGAGCATGGCCTTCATAAGTCCATTCCATCACAAGAATATACGTAGCTCAGGGTTGAAGTGCGGAGTCCTTGGTGCTGAGCTTGGTTGTTTGCTTGCAGACATTTCATTACCCAGCTAGGTAACATCATCAGTGCTCGTGTGTGGGGGGGATTTGCTTCCTGTTTATATGCAGTAGCTTGCCCTGCCAATGTTGGTGGGGATGTGGTTTTCTCTTTGGTAGTTCCTGAATTAGGCTGTTGTTTTCTGCTTGACCACACCCCCATCAACACTGGCAGGGCAAGCTACTGTACAGGGAGCAACCCCCCTCCCACACTAGCACTGAAGTTACCTAGCTGGGTAATGAAACGTCTGCAAGTGAACAACCAAGCTCAGAGGGCACCAGGATTCCAGAGTTATTGCTGCCTTTATACATTATTATATAAGGTGGACATTTAAGATGTCAATCACAGCTACTGAGGATAAAAATGCACAAAGAGTTCTTGAATTTTTGAAGCAATTCAATATAAAGAATGTAATTTGTACTACTGTGGAAGCCATCAATGAGATTAAAAAAGTGTTGGCATGGCGCTTGGTGGTCCTTCTATCTGATTTTATTCATGATTGATTACATAAAAGAGGTTCCCAAAATAAAAGCAAATTGTATTGCTCTCACAAAGCAGGTTAGGTTTGACAAAGTGGAGGAAGAGGGCTTAGATGAGCTGTTTCAATCCCATGCAGAGAAATTTTCAACAGAAGATCTGCAACAACTTATTGATGAGGAGCAAGTAGAAGGCGTTGTCCAGCAAGCTATCATAAAAAAGCTTTCTACTTCAGAGTTATCTTCAGTTTTGATTGCATTTGGGAAAAATTTGCAATGGCTAGAAAACAACAATTACAATGCAGAAAGGAGCAGAATAGCAGTCCATGAAATTCAATCTTATTTGGAGCCATATAAGCAGTTTATTTACAAGGATGACGGCAAAACAACAGGTACTAGATGAGTTTTTTAAGCAAACACCCAAGAAAAAGACAGAAGATGAACTACAGCCCTGTAGTTCTGGTGCAACCACATTTCATCTAAAGCCTGCATCTGCTCCACCTGCTAATTCTGATCTTCCTCCTCCTCCTCCTCCTCCTCTTCTTCCATTGTCTCCATAACTCTGCAACCTCAACCCCTTCTAATGTCCTATCCCTCAAGCTGTTTTCACTTATTTTCAAGGTAAGAGTCTAAAGTTGCATTACTTAATTATGAATTTAACAAGTTTTTCAACTATGTAAGTACTTTATTAGGATTATTTGTTGTGTTTGGTAATATTTTGGTTATGAATGTGTTGTCATTCTTGAGTGATCTGCCCCAACCCCATTTTTTCCATAAAATGTTATTCATATTGCATATTTTTGTGTAGCACATGGGTTTCTAGGAACACAACTATCATGCTATACGAAGACTGACTGTACATAATTGGTAAAATTAGGAGACAAAGCAATATTTTAATCACAAGAGTAATAGTAACAATATGTCAGCAAAACCTGCAATATTTATTGGAATTACCATAACGGATTTAGAACAGCACGGCAGGTAGTTCGACTGCAGAGAACTGGCTCATATTGAATGGGAGGCAAATCAGGACGCTCTTTCAATGGTGTGAAGAGAGAGGCCACTGGAACCACCATTCTTGTGGCTTCAAGACGACTGGAAGGCCACACATTCCAGCTGAATCTAACACCATCTCTATCTTCATTTTGCTGAATGAACTCCAAGAAGGTTGTCATTATGAAGCTCTTGTATCTGTAGCAAAAATATACATTGAATTTAACCATGCAAGTTCTTAAGGATAAATTAAAAACAGTGCAACACTTTTAAGTAATTCATGTATTTGCAGTACCAGCCATCTGGAAACCATGAGAACTCCTGTCCATCTATAAAACCATGGAAGGAAGAATGAATAACAACTAGGAGTCTCTGTTCTGTTTAGTGAGTGTTGGCATTACATTATTTCCAAATGCAAATTTGGAAATTTCCAAATGTATAAGCACATGTATCTTAAGCAACATGTTCACTTCTAAACATTACAGCAATTCTGAAAGCTGTTACCCTGCAAAGCAACTTCATTTTGAAGAATTTTACTTGGTAAATTATAATGGTGATCACTTGCATCCATTTCAAAACAGCCTGTTTAACAGAACTGCTGTTTTTGAACTAACAAGTTCAGGCTAGTTTACTATGCACTATACATGACACATTAATATGTGCTAACCAAGGACAACTGTTATACTACGCAAAACTTGGAAACTATATAGTGCAAGTAGCAGTATGCAATAGAAGCACAATCCACAGCCCACCTCTTTTATCAGAGAAAATGAATTAAATAGAAGTAACTAGCTAACTACAACAGCACTGTAATAAAGATATGATAAATGAGAACTTATTGAAGCAGCAATTTGGAGAGCAAGTGGAAAAAGGCAGGATAAAACACTGATCATATTTAAGAGTTACTAGGCATGATGATGGTTGTATCTAAAATTCCCCAGACCCAGGTAGGCAACCATCTTGAGTCTCATGGCTGCTCTTTAAGGAGCTACTTAGGGACAAATGGAACATGTACTGATGTCTGCAGTGGGGACATGGTTATTGTTTCACCCTTTAAATTTTTTAGTAAAATAGTTCTGCTAAGGCTATCAGAGGTTTAACATATCTATTTTCTGCCTTTTAAGCAGGAAATGGTGCCACCGTAATGCAGCATCAAATTTCAGATTCTTGGATAGCTGAGTATCACATGCAATGTGCAGATTCTATATTCCTACTCTAAATTTGTCCACTCACAATATAACCTGAGATTCAGTCAATGCCACAGTTTTACCTGTCATTTTCTAGTAATAACTGCATACTTTCTTTACATAAACACATTTCTATTTGTAATTTTAATGACAAAATATTATCATTAAAGTGTAAAAACCAAAATTTAGAGTCATATCTTTCTCATGAGAGTATTTATCTTGAGGATATCAATAAAGTACAAGCCTCTGCGTTGCTTGTACAATCATTACAGTTAAATTATTCCAGTTAGTTTTCTCTGTATTAAGCCAACCATGTATCTAAAACTAGCTTCAAGTTCTATCAGATGCTTATAAATTTATTATAAAATTGTGATTTTGTTCTAAAATTCTGCAGCTCTTATGAGGCAAATAACAAAGTAAAAGCAATGCACTCATTTACAAGAAAAGGATGACTGAGATAGGAAATCTACTTACACAATAGTTTTGCTTTAGTCAATATTTTATTCTAGTTTACAGACTGTAAAACCATTTAGTATTTATGCATTTACACTTACACATAATGTAAACCACAAATTTATGGACCTCTTCCTATTTCTTCACACAGGTAAAAGAACAGAATCAGGTTTCAGGTTAGAAAAATGGAGAGGATTATTAATTTATTTCATGAAATATGCTGACGTGAAACTGTTGTCAATGCTCCTAGCTTTCTTATCTGGGGTGACATAAAAAGTAACTGCAGTCAATTGAAAAAAGAAAACAAAGGCTTCCAGTTTTCTTTCCATGGCCATTCTAGAATAAGAGCAAGAAGAAGGGAACACAAGCCTGAGGCTTTTTTATTTAACTCAGAACTACAATTTATTATTACATACAAATTAAACCACTTCAGTGATACCACATCTCCTTGCCCTGTTGTAGACAGAACGGACCCATTTTCATTGCTTCACTTACAAAGATGATCATAGTTGCACAGCCACCTGGCTTTCACATGAATGTCAGTTGCTTTCAAGACAAGGAATATACATCTCCCTGTCTCAGGCAGAATCTTCCTGAGAGATGCTTAGAGTATTTTTAGTCCATAGCAAAAGGAGAGATCCCACATAATCTTTCTCTGTCCAAGTGCAAAATCTTTTGTTCTTCTGGAAACTACAGGCAATTCTCCAGCAAGCAAGAGTGAAGCAAGCAAGAAATTGGCATGCCAAAGTGGGAAGGGCGGGGGGGGGGGTGTAGTGGGGAAAGAAAGTTATAATTTGCAGGAAAAACAATTTTCCAGATAACAAATTGGCATAGACATAATATCTGTTCCAAACTCTTGAGGAATATGAAACAGTTAGCTAAGAACTGAACAGAGTTTAACTACTTTTTCTGTGTGTGTGTGTGTTTTAAACCCAATCTTTTGCCTTTGGTCATTATTCCTCTATACAAGTTTAGTTCTTATGTGTTTTATGCAAATTGGCACTTCTTTACATTAGATCTGCTTCTAAATAGGAGAGATCTGCTCTGAGCCCTATATTGGAGTTTGTTCTAAAGATTCTGTCTGTGATTGGATAAAAATATAGATGTGTTATCTCCTTTACCACTGAATATTCCTTGTATGATAATATTTAAAGTTAAAAAGGAATGTTTAAGTATACTCTTCTCCTTTTTAAAAAAAAATACAACTTGTTTTCTATTTATTACTTGTGAGACTGATCTCTCCACAAAGGAGGAGAGGGAAAGGGGGCTGATTTCTGCCACACTACTGTATACCACAAGGCTACACGCCCAGGAAGTAGTGCTATGGAATATATTTCTTTTTTATCCTTTTTTCCTTTCACTCACCAGTGAGGCACATAGGCTGTAGAGTCCCTGTTTCTTTCACACACCGAAACTGAATTAGGAGAAGGATGCCAGATAAGGCACTCCCTAGAAGACAGAAGCAAGAACTACCAAGCCACATACTAAGAGGTGGAGCTAGGGTTTGTAGACACAAATAGTTTCTGGGAGAAAAGGGTTGAAATCTCCAACCTTTCACTCTATGAGCTCAGCATACGGACTGTATATCATCAACACTCCAAGATGCTAATGGGACCACAGTACAAGTCATTAATATCTGCACAAAAAACATCTTCCATAGATGGTGGATTTTGAAATCTGTACACCAATATCCTCCACAAAGATGGACTACAAGCTACCAGAAATACTATTCCCGATGGTGTTCCAGCACATCTATCAACTTCATCACATCAAGCACACCCAGAAATATTTCTCTTTTTTGGAAAACTGTATTTCCAAGTCAGTGGTACAACATGCAGCCCACCAAGCAGCCCTTGTGTGACCTTCTGGTGTTTTCTGAAAAATAATCAATCCATTGCCACCAAATATTGCCATCACTAGGAAAGATCTACCGCCACCACCTAGAATTTTGCAGCACTTCCACCCCAAAAGACACATTGCCAAGTGTCTCCAGGTCTTGTGGACACTGCTAGCTCTATTGCTGCTGCTGCACTGCTAGCTGCTGAACATCTGATCAGCACGCTAGCTATTCTTTTGTGGCCCAAGATAATTTTTAGGTATTAATCTGGCCCTTTCCCTTTTACAACCTGTGCGGGCCTGCTTATGACCATTGGTATGGCATACAATATACTAACATCTTGTGATTGACTTAAAGCAATGCTTCCTCAGCTCTTACACTCAGAAAACTCTTCACTACCTAGATTCACAATGACTTTTTTTATAAACTAGACCCATGGTCAGGAGGCCCTCACAAAGTTCTGTTAGGACTTCAATCAATTTTACCACACCATCAAGCTGATCGAAGACCAATCCATGTAATTTTCAGGACATGAGTATGAAATTAAACCACCAGCATATAAGAGTACCAACATATATAAGAAACCAACTGACTGCTGCAGCTAATATCCAATGAAGTTATAAAACACAACAAGGCCACACTGGTTCTCATAATAATTATAATAATCTATTACAAAATAGACTCAGAAGAGAAAACAGAAGTTGTTGCTTATAACTGTCAGCAAAAACCACTTAAAAGCATCATCTATAATCTACAGTTGATCCTGGACAAAGATCCTTCCTTTTCAAATGCCATAACTGATAGGCTGTACATGCCTAATCTAAAACAGCTGCCAACAACAAACTATACCACAATAATACAGACAAAGAACCAACATCTGTGGCAGACTCAGATTCCAATATTGTCCCTTTATGACTATTACAACCCCTAATAATATTACCCACAAAACTAGGGAGCATATATTTATGCAACTTCCAAAGTGGTACACACATCATTTATCAGCAGTTCCCAAGGCACTTAACATTAGATAAAAGAGCTAAACTCTATGCAAAAGAATAAATGGACATAAATCTGACATCAGAAATTCAAAAAATCAGAGAAGGAACATTCTAGGACACTCTATGACTTCAAAATACTACTCTTTGGGGAAAAGTATTAGAAAGACTGATTCAATGCAAGAATGTATTTGTCATACCTAAATGCTACTTTAAGTTCAATCACTTCCTTCTCTCACCTTTCTTTTCACAATTCCTTTCTTTCTTCCCAAAAACAAATATTTCAAAATGCTCCTCTCACATCTGTACTTGACATGACTGAAGAGATAGACTATGATCTATGAAAGCTTATGTGATAATAAACTTCATAATATTTTCCAATACTGTACCAAAAAAAAAAACTTCTCTAGAAACTTTTTATTTATTTTCTAATATATAAGTACACTTAAACGTTTTAAATAAAGGGCTTTGTCATTCTACAAGTCAAGATTAAATGTTTATTGCTTTGACATGTGTAACAATCTGCCACTCACTTCAATAACTCTCTTTGCAACCAGTAATGCTTCAAAAGAAAGTTCATTTATTGAGGACAAGTATACAGTTCCAATGCATTGCTAAGACTGAGCCCGCGTGCGCCAAAAGTTGCTTTTACCTTTTTTCCCTTTCCCCCTGCACCCCCCTAACCTCCCAGTCTTCTCACAGCCGCTCATTGGTACCACCTTGAGCATTCCTCAGTCTTTGATAACAGCCCATCTGCCTCTAACGATCATTTCTTCCATTCATCTTTCCAGATCCTTCCAGCACCCGCCCCCCATGTCTCTTAATGGCAGAACTGAAGCAAGCAAGCAAGCTGGCAAATAATGTGGTTAATTGATTGCAAGGATTCTGACAACATGATTGTTTCATGAATAATTAGCAAAGGTTTAACTGCCAGATTCTCTACCAAAGATAAAGCTGAACTAGAAAGAAATATGCTTTTGTAAAATGCAAATAATAATAGCATTCCCTGCCCATTCTGAGAGATGGCAAAGTTCAAAAGGCTTAAATGAAGTTTAAATATCTTAAAGTCCAGCATGGTTCTTATCTTTGAATAAAGCATTTTAAATTCAATACTCACAAATAACTGGTTCCCATATTCATAAGGACCCAGTTCAACCAGGATTTAAATCAATAAATCTTAGTATACCTATAGTCCAGACATTTCTTAAAATGAGAAAGGAATGTTGAAGAAAAAAAATATGTATCATACATCAGGAAATGTTCCTTGGGATAATGAGGCCAGAAAAACATGCAGACTGCAGAGTCTACAAAAAGATATAAAACAGACACAAGATCCTTCATGCCCACTGGGATAAGAAGTGTTAGCTAGCCATAATTTTTAAAGTTTCTTATTAGCCAGCTGGAAGTCTTGTAGGCTCAAAGAGGAAAAGGTCGGGATATCTGCTGAATCCTGCAAAAATGCTGCTTACAGCTAGAGAAGCAAAACTGCTTTTTATGTAGAAGAGGCCTACGTACAGTCTTGGGAAAATAATTATCTCTTAGGTATAACTGTTACATTAAAATAAGAGTAAACTACTCTTGATAAGTGGAATACAAAGATAACCCTACACATCCCTACTTCAAAGATGCACAGAATCTAATTTCAGAAATCTCCAGTTAGGACTGTAGTCTAAGAATTACAAAGTGCCTTACAAATCCACACCACAACTGCACATTAAATTCAAAATAAGCACTACTAATTACTTTGTTCCTATAAATACACCAAAACTATATAAATACTGCCTTAGTGTACTACAAAGTGTCCAAAAACAACTTATAGTCCAGAATTTGAAGCTTATTTATTCAGAAGTAAATTCTAATTAATACAATGGGATTCACTTCTCAGTAAATCAGTTCATTGTAGCCTTGCATCCTTAAACAATATGTTATCTTACTACAGTACTCTAACTTTGTTGGACTCTAACCAGAGCCTTCTTGACTTATAAAATCAAGAAATTTCAGGAAAATTAACACCCCTAAAAAACTTTCTCTACCTCTTAACTCCTCTTCCTCCCTCCCAACTCCTTAGTGTCTATGGTAAACGCTTTTTTTATTTGACCATACTTCACACTCTTTAAAATGCCAACTGGTTTATTCTAGACAAATAATTAAGGATTTTTCAAGTCTGCATTCCTAGGAGAAAGTTCCTTTGAATTTAGGGTTCTATTTATGTATGTATGTATGTGCCTTCAAGTCAGTGTTGACTTCTGGCGACTGCCTAGACCCTGCAGTTTTCTTGGCAAGATTTTCTGAAGTGGTTTGCCATTGCCTGCTTCCTAGGGCTGAGAGAGAATGACTGACTGAAAGTCACCCAGATGGCTCTGTGCGTAAGGCGGGACTAGAACTCTTGGTCTCCCAGTTTCTAGCCTGATGCCTTAACCACTACACCAAACTGGCTCCCTTTAGTGAACTTACTTCTTACTAAGTATGTTTATCAGCTATATGTCTGTTCATGAATGTAATCTCTTTTTAAAACAGTTCAAAGTCCAGGAAACTAGCTTCTGCATATATTTGGCTATCCCTTTGAAAATAATATTTAATTCTATTTCAATATGCTTAGTCAACCTGGAAAACAGATGACTACAAATTAATCCCTTGGGATACAGCCTGTTTTTTCTGCAAATCCCCATGGAATATGTTACACACAGTTTATATTAATGTCTTTCAATCCCTAAAATTTAAGTAAAATACATAAAATCTTAATTTAATTGCCAGATTTTAAAATCTGATACATAGTTACTGTGTTTTATCAAAGAAAATATATCATTACTATAGCATAACATTGCTTCTTGCCTTTTTTTCCTTCTTTAAAAATTGAAGTTCCCCTTCATGCATCTGACATCTTGGCTATAGTCCACAAAAGCTTAGGCATTAATATATTTGTTACTGTCTAATTCAGAACTATATTGTTTTTTGAGCAACATATATGTATTCTCTTGTACAACTGGCAGTACGTGGCACTAACAGCAGAAGCACCTGAGTTTATAAAAAGTATTCAGGTTTACAAACCCCTCAGTTTCTTCCCATAGGAAACCTCCATTTCCAGTCTATTCTGATCCTCTCTTCTCCCTTTCCCATTTAATATGTTAAGAACCCCTTTACACTATTCTACTCCCTTTGATACAGACACACCTTTTCCACAGCCACTTCCATTAATAAAAAGACATTGATATCTGTCTTCTGGCCCACAAATCGGCTTATTAATACACAATGTCATCTGGGGATGTTGTCCTGGGTTAGGTTGCTCAGGTGCAACCCAATGCAACCAGGTGGAGCTGACTTTAGACACACTTCCAGAGAAGGTGGGAGGGTTAAAAAGAGAACAAACGAGGGTCCAGCTCCGCATGACAGTTCCACGTTTTTTACCGTTCTAACATTCAAACACACCCATTTCAAAAGGGAAGCAGCATTCATTTATCTGCCTAACTCTCACTTACAACACCTTCCTCCCCACGTTGAGAAACCGTCTCTCCGAATCTCTGAAGCCAGTTTGGGTTTAAAGCTATGTTGGGGAAAATTAATGGAAGAAGAGGAAGGGAGAAGAATGGATATTCAGGGTCATGGTGGGCAAGATAGAGGACTGAAGCTGAAACTCCTTCACCACTAGGTTAAACGATTTCAAAGGGAGGAAACCCTTCCAGGCTTAGCCCACGGCGGTACCTCAGGTTACTGGGCAAGGGGGCGCGACGGCATTCCACGGTAAACACCAAGAGAGCTGACGCGGTCGGAAGAAGTCGAAAGAGACCCCCTCCTCTCCCTCTTTGTACACCAGACCAGTGGGTCTCTCCCCGGCCCAGACAGCCCCTCTCCGCTTCCCCGGCCCAGACGGCCAGAGCCGACCCTCCCTGGCTGCCCACTCCAGCCTTCCTTCCCCCCGCTCGACCCACCTCAGCTCCAACAGCCTCAGCCCGCCTCGCTCACTCCTCTCTCGCGCACACTGAACCCAGCAGGCTGAGCGCCGCCGACGCAACCAACATGGCTGAGGGGGGGAACCGGTGCCACGTCAAAGGGCAGAGAGCGCGCGGGAAGGGGCGGGGCCATTAGCGAAGGGCGGGTCTCGAGCCGGCCGGTCCGGGCCCTGAGCGGCGAAAAAAAGCAGACCGAAGCCGGCAGAGAGGCGTGGCTGGCCGCGAAGGTGTGAGCGGGACTCTGTTATTACATAAACTCGGGGGGAAGACATTTTCGCTTTCTACACCGTTTGGGGTTCCACCTCCTTTAACGCCAGGCAGTCGCAATCTGAGCGGCCGGGAGCCCTATTTCTCGCCTTCGCTTTTAAACGCCGCGTCACTGCTGGGGCTTCAATACCTGGAGCCTTTTCCCTCACTGCATCTCCTGGCTGGGCGTTGTTACAGACTGTTGAAATTCTGCACTGTAGAAGCTAAAGACGACGTATAAGTTGCATATTTAGAGCAATGTTTTTCAAACTTGGCGACTTTAAGATGTGTGGACTTCAACTCCCAGAATTCCCCAGGCGACTCACCTGTGGACTTCAACTTCCAACTTGGCGACTTTAAGATGTGTGGACTTCAACTCCCAGAATTCCCCAGGCGACTCACCTGTGGACTTCAACTTCCAACTTGGCGACTTTAAGATGTGTGGACTTCAACTCCCAGAATTCCCCAGGCGACTCACCTGTGGACTTCAACTTCCAACTTGGCGACTTTAAGATGTGTGGACTTCAACTCCCAGAATTCCCCAGCCAGCTTGCTTGAAGTCCACACATCTTAAAGTCGCCAAGTTGGAAGTTGAAGTCCACAGGTGAGTCGCCAAGTTTGAAAAACACTACATTAGAGAGTACAAAAGGCTGCTGTGGTGATCAGATGGCTATAGTACCATAGTGTTGAGGAATCATCAGACCCAGTGCTGGTGACCACTACTAATGGTAGTAACGCTGCCTTCTGCAACTTGATACCTTCTAGATGTTTTCAACAATGAGGCCTTCCCTGCTGACACAAACTCCCAGTGCCACCATCCCGACACTTGTTCCTGCCATGCTATGACACTGTCATCACCTTCACTCCTGCCCATGAGAGAGTCAGGCTTAACATATCCTTAGTTGTACATTACATTCAAGTAGCATTTTCCCCAGTATTGCAGCAACATGCAGGGCAGCCAGAATGTATACAGAATCTCTTAGGCTGGTCACTTATTATTTTGGAGAGAAATAAGTTGACTATAGAGGCAACAGAGGCAGGATCTGGATCAGCAATGGAACAGTAAATATGGTCTTAACCTTGAGTTTTCTGAAACTCAAAGATGGGGTGGGGGGAGAACACCAATTCAGCACCTGGAAAAGTTTCTATCATGTGCATCCTTGTCTGCCATGCAACTTTGTTGGCTGATGATGATGGAAATCGTACTCTGTGGGACACTAACATGCAGAAGGCTAAGTTAGTGTGTCCTCAAACCATATCATCACAGGATCCATTGAACCACAAACTAGCCAACCACGTTTTAGCATGATGTGTTGTGCAATCCCACCAATGTGGTAATTTATGGTCCAGTATATCGTGCAAACCCAAAGAACTGGATTGTATTATCCCAGTAGGTTTGTCCTGCTACTACACCCAGCATTTCTGATTATCATCAGTGGGAAATCAATACTGGCAATGTCGCTCACTTGTTCTGCGATGTGTGGTATTTACTGATGTCAAGTCACATACCGAAGCAATTCAGAAAATCTATGCCAGCTTCCCCAACACAGTGCTCCCAAAATGTAGAACTTTATTGCCAGCCTAGTCCAATATTATCCAAAGAAGCATAGGCTGCACAACAATTTTTCATAATCAGTCATATTTAGTTTTAACAGTTATTTTAATTGTTTTTGTAAGACTTTAATTGTTTAGCTTTTGTTTCTCATTGTTAACTAGTATGAATGCCCAATGGGTAGAAAGGCAGTTAATTATATCACATTATATTACACTATGTGTCTGTATGTACATAAAGAGATGTATAACACTGGCAGTTGAGAAATTAACTGTATTACTCATCCAAATCCATTTTTTTAAAAAAATGTAAATAATAAATGTGTGCCTAGTGTATTACTTTAACAGGCAGAATATAATAACTTAAATATGTTTACTCAAAATTAAATACCACTCCGTTTAGTGAATGTGCTCTCAAATAAGTGCACAGGAGTTGCAACCCCTTATTTTCAGTGCACCTGTGCAATAGTAGATGTAAATTATATCAAGTCTGAGTCGTTAAAGAGAAAAAAATAACTCTCCCAAAAGGCCAGCCAAGAGGCCAGGGGAACAGAATATGTCCTTCTGCGAGTCCTGAATCTGTCCGCCTTTAGCCTAGATACACGACCTGCAGC